GGCATTATACAAGCTGAAATACCTAATTTCATAGATGATTCATTTTATTATAATAATATTTATGTAAGCTTAAAAGATCCTATATTTAAACCATCAAACGTAATAAAACATACTTCTGAACTTTATGATATAATTATTAAAACAAATAAGTTTATTTATTTTTATATGGACTAGATCATCAGGTGAAATTATTAAATACAGCTTGTATATATTTAATTAATTAGCATTAGATTTAGATTATTTAGTAATATTATGAATATCAACTGTTTATTTCTAAAAGAATCTGATAGAAAGAATCATATTTATATTAAACTTAAAATTTCAATATGTTAATCTTATGTGTTAAAAGGTAAATAAAATTAGAAGAAATTATATCAAAATGCAATAATATGAATAACATTAGAAAAGCAACTATAGAAAAACTTAGATTAAAAAAAGAATTTAAGAAAAGCTTAAATCCTATAATTGTTTTATTAAATGATTTAATTAAATGATATTAATGTTACTCTTTTTGTTACTATGATTTTAAATCAAGAAGATAATAACTATGACTTAATTTAATTAACTTGATATGATATTCTATATCTAAAATTGGTTTTAGAAATTTAACCTTTCTAATAGTACAAATTTCTAATAATTTATTCAATAATAATAGTAAATTTTTTAATTTAATAACAAATTGGCAAAAGTTTTTTGATTTTATCTCCTACATATTTCTAGATAATGTAAGTAATATATCAAAATGAATAAAAGACATATTATTAAATTCTTGATCTAATTTGACTGCAAATTGATTACCATTTGCTATTATATTACTTCTAATATCTGTTGTCATAACAAGAATATTCTAACTAATTATTGAATTCTTCAAAAAGTTGTGAAAGTTTGCTTGTAATTAATTCAGCTCTATGAGAACCATTTATAGGAATTATATCAAGCAAAAGATTCTTTAATTCCCAATTATTATTAATATAATGAATTGTTATTCCAAGATAACAATCTTTTGGATCTGATGTCCATATGTCTGTTGTAAGAGATATTTTTGAATTAATTTGTGAAATTTCGCCTATTAAATCATTTCTTTTTGTATCATAATTTTTTACAAATTTTTCTTTTAAAGTTTGTCTACATGGTAAAATAAATTGAGGATTTAACTTATTAACAAACAATTTGAATTCAGTATTTTCAACAATAGAAAAAGGTTATAAATCAGTTGCAATAAAATCAATCAATGAATTTGTGATGGAGTTAGATTGTGATAAAGAATAGGATTTGAAGCGTATTTCATTCAAAGTAATTTGATGATTTTCAGTTTTTTTATAATGAAACTAGAAGATTCGATTATTTTTTTTGTGCGATGACTTTCGTCGCCGCCAGGTATTATTGGTTAGGTTTTATGTGTACGGTTATTTATTGTAATACAGAATTTTATTGGATGTAATATATTTTAATTATAAAATTTGAAAATAATTTTTTTTTTGTTTGATGTGTGATTATGTATTTTAATTTATAGGCGATTTATGTTTGGGTTGGTTGTAATGGTCTTGATAGTGGTAATGGTTCAGATGCTTTTGATTCTAGTCTTTCGTATTCTTTGATCATTGATTTGTCGACGGTAAATGCCTCTCTGGTTAATGATCTTATTTTAATGTTATCCCAGTTGTTGCATCTACTTAGTGCTACGTAGGCTTGACTTTTTTCAAACATCTAAGAGTCTAAGTTTAGTGATACGTTTGGTAGTGTTATTCCTTGAACTTTATGGACTGTGAAGGCAAATGCATTTATTAATGGATATTGGGTTCTACTTACGGGAGCTCCATTGATCATGAAGTTTGAGGTGTATTTTCTAATTGCTATATCAACTATTGCTCCTTGGACGCAAAATGCGTATCTTATTTCTTGTGTTTCGGTGTTTACGTCAGTTATGATACTGATCATCCCATCATATATCTTGTGTTTGAATTCTGTGTTATTTAGGAACATTATTCTTGCGCCTATTTGTAATTGTAAAATTTTTGGTAGATTTGTTTTTCATTTAATTATTTTATGAAAGTATTTGTTATTCTCTATTTTTCCATTTATGATGTCTATAGAACTTGATATGAGGTATTTTCCATTCTTGGTCAGTAGTGTGTTACATATTGTTTCGTTGATTTTGTGTGCTAATTTTTTGTATCTGATTATATGTGTTGTATTTAGGGTTTTTTCGAGGTTTTCAGTTGGTGTATTAATGGTTTGGTTTAATTTGGCCTGTAGTGTATTCCATGTAGAGGTGTCCAATTTCCCAAATCTGATATTTTGTAGAAGTTGATAATAAGTCGGGTCTTAGCTTTGTCTTTGAGGTTCGCGTAAGAATAGTGGGTAAAATATTTTCCATATTGGTGATTTGAATACTGGTCGATTTTCAATTGGTGGAAGTTGAGCGAGGTCTCCGACTACTATTGTGTTGATTCCTCCAAATGGTTCAGGGTTGTGGTGTATGTATGAGAATGTTTGGGAAATGTATGTTATTAGGTTGGATGATGTCATTGATATTTCTTCTATGATTATTGTATTTGTATTTTTGAGTTCTTGGTAGAGTGACGGATCTGAGAATGCTAGGGTTTGGTATAATGATCCATATGAATGGATTCTAAGTGCTGAGTGTATAGTACGACCACCTATATTTTGAGCGGTTACTCCGATTGGGGCCATTAGGATGTATTTTTTGTTTTTGTTCTTTAATTCATTAATTATAAGGTTGATGATGAAAGATTTACCAGTTCCGGCCGATCCAGTGATAAAGAAGTATAGATAATGTTGAGCGTCTCTTGGGCCAATATAGTTTTTTATCATTTGCATACATTGGTATTGGGAAGTGGGGAGTTCGGTCATGATATTTCTTGGAAGAATCGGGGTAATAGTTTAATCAATTTTATTTGAGTATGAATTATTTTTTGAATGTCCTGTGTTAATATATCTTGTAGTGAAAGGAGTAATTCTTCAATTAGGTTATTGAATTGTTCTATCATATTAATTGTTAAGTTTCTTGATTTTGTTGTAGGGTTTTGGCAAATCTTTCAGGAAATCTTGCTATGAAGTGGTCTCTGTAAGTATTGTGGTTCCCTTTGAGTTCATTTTCTGAGTGACATAGTATTGACAAAAGGAGTTGTTAGTAGAAGTATAGTTCACCATGTTCTATAGTTAGATAACGGGTTCTTATTAGTATAGAGGTATTTCTTTCAATAACATAATTGTTCATGTTGTCAAAATAAGTGTTTCTTCTTGTCGAATTATTTAATGTGCTTCGTATATCATATTTTTCATAATATTCTCTATAGGTAATATTGTCAAATATCTCATCATTAGGCCTATGGAAGTATTTTTCAATACGATCTTTCCAGTAAGGATTATCATCATCAGGATTTATTAATGATAAGGGTAGGATTGCTTTAGATCGTATTGAGGGAGATTCAGTGATCAGATATATTACTTGTGTTGATGAGTTGCATATTTTTTCACCAAGCAATAGGAACATTAATTCTATGGAACCTAGTCTTCTTGCATGAATATATTCTCAGTATAGATTTTCTTCGCTGATGTTGAATAAGTGAGAGGGTTCAGCTTTTACAATGTATTTGGTAATATATTGTGCTAAGCCTCTATCTGTTATGTATTGAATGTTCATATGGGCTTTCCATATTAATAGTGTGGGTGCGTGATAGGATACAACCCATCTGTCCAATTGGTTAATACAACGATATGTATAACAGAAAGATTCATTATCGTAATATGTGCATGGAGAATATGGTCTTGGGAATCCTTTCTTACATCTTTCTCCAGAAGAAGCTGGTCTGCCACATTTTTCATTGCAAGTGTGAATCTAATAGTTTATTACTAGTTGGTATAGTTCAAGTTCGAGATTTGAATCTGGAACATCCAATCTAATAACATTTTCATCTATCATTTCTTTAATTGATTTTGAGATCCAATAGACTCCGTGGGTATGGGCCGCTCCTCTATTCTGAAATTCGATTCTTTCAAAAAAATGATGATAAGTTCCCACCTGCTTAGGATAGGATCTTTCTAAATTAACTTTTTAAGAGATCACAATCTATGAATAAAATGTAGTGTGGTGTGTAAAGGTCAGTTTGTCAGTATTGTATCGTGGTTGTCAGTTTTGTTTAATATATCATGAAGATGGCTTCATGATCCTTCGGCCATAGATAGGGTTATGAATAATATAGGTAATTGGAATCCTGTTATCATGCTATTTAGGTGCATAGTTTTCCTTTAGAAATATGTATCGCCCGTTCTGATAAATGTAGGTAGCGGAATGGTTTTTTTTTCATTATATTTATATCTTTCGGTATAAGAGCTTCGTTCAATAATTTCAATAGCAGTAGAAGGACGATAAGTGATATCAGCATTATATTATCATAATAAATGTTAGTTATTTTGATGATTTCGCAATTTTTCAAGCTGTAAGTATGACTACGCTGGTCAATAATGATGTAGCCTAAATCAGGGATCTATGTTTAGTAATCTATGTTTAATATATTTGCCATAGGTATCTATTCTTTATTATCAGGTGGTTGAGTTACTTATCATTTCTCGATAATGTTCATGACCATTTGGAAATAAATCGGAAAACAACAAGGCTTCAAGGTTTGGATTATTTATCGATATCGGCATAGAGTTTATCTCATTATTCTGATGGAATCCTGCTATCAATCTTGTATAATGTGCGTCTTCATCATGGATTTCATTTGGAAAATTTTGATGAGGGATAACTATTTCGCCAGGTCTGAATGGTGGGGCTTCATCATCATCAATGATATGTGTTGCAGTTGGAAAGGTTAAAATATTATCATTATTTAAAAGTGAGTTTGCATAATTTGAAATATGAGGGTTGTTATTTTGTAACTAATTAGCACCATTTATAAGTGATATGTTGAACCAATTATGCCGTTGGTCATTAGGGTTTAATCTATAGTCTTCTAAAAAAGTGCCTAACATTCCGGAATATAATACTAATGATCTGTAATTTTTAGAATATCCCATAGTACCAACAAAGGATCGATATGTTGTATAATTGTTTACGTCATGAATTCTTCCTAAAGATGAATGTAAGTATATTGGAGATAAATATTTTCTTTTCCATAAGGGTATTAATTCAATTTCTGAGGGTATGAGATGCAAATACGGAGGGTAGTTTCTTGATGGATTTTTATCACGCATCGCAAATAGATATCCTATTATTAGGAGGATTAGGATTAAAAATAAGGGATAAATTTGGATAATTTCTAATTAATGGATAAGTAAAATTATCATTTTTACTAATCCATTTTGATTTTTCAGAATATATCATCCGTCCACAATATGAACATGGTAAGCATGAATATTGAACAAGAATATAAAGCTCAAATTTGTTTTTTAGCATTATAAATTTTTGCGATAGAATCCAAGGAAGAAATATACGAGGTAATTGAATGGTTTGTAAATATGAATCTGATTGTGAATTGGATCGATTTTCAACATTATTAATAAATGATATATCAATTATAGTTTCATTCTCTTGTTGATTTACTTCTAGAATTTAGAATACATGAGAAGTCATTTTTTTTTGAGGAATTTCGATAAGATAAAAATGCATTTCATATTTATTTATTATTGTGATTTTTTTTATTTTTAATTATTAATAATTATATAATAATGATTTAAAAATGATTAATTAAATAATTACGATAAAATTGACTAAAATAATAAAAGTTAGCAGTTAAACACGAAAATAATATATTATTTATTTATTTATTTCTTTATTTTATCTAATGTAATAAATAAATAAAAATGAATCAATAATTATGAATCAAACGTTAGAATTTTTTAATATATTTAATTTAAAAAAATTTATTTTTTATTGTAAATTAAAAAAAAACAATGAATAAAGTAAGAAAAACATGATAAATGTAAAAAAGATTCATTAATTAATATTAATTATTCATTTTTTTCTTCAGGTTGAGTTGATTGAATTTCATTTTGAGGGTTTATATCTGTATTTAAAGAAGATAATGATAAGGAAGCAAGTTTTGGAGTTTTATCAATTCCTGATAAAGTTGATGATGCTTTGCGTTTTCCTTTTTGTTTAGGTTTTTTTGCATTTGTTAAAATAGATTTAGCTATATCAGTAACTGATGGAACTGATGATGATGACTGCTCAATTACTTGTTTTTTTTCCCAAGTATAATTTGAAGCTTTATAAGATAAAGATGAAGAGACCAAATCTATAAAATTAACTTGTGTAATTTTAATAAGTAAAAGGTTTTCAATAAATGATAGATAACCAGTAATATATAATAAAGAACCACGTGAAACTTTTGTAGAGATTGGTAATAAATGAGTTTCTTCTGGATAGTGATATAAATTAAATAAAAGAGGATTGTTGAGTTGATCGCTAATATACTTTTTGATAGTTAAGTTAAAAATGATTTTATCGTCACCAATATCCGGATTATTTGATGTTATACCAATCAATGTAATGAATAATGAAGATTTTGGAAGGTCTTTATCATCAAGATTAATCACGCATATATTAGATGCTATAAGCTGTTTTTTTTAAAAAATCAAAAAGAATTAATATAATTAATAATATTAATTTGTATTTTATAATTAATTTTTTTACCTTAATAAGTTTAATTTTATCATTATCAACTTCTGTTTCAATTATCGAAAATCTTTTTTAAACTTGAATTATATCTTCTTTTTTAAATCTTTCTAGATCACTGTCTCTTGTCATATTTATATCTTTTGGATAAAATGCGGTAATATAGATAAATACATTAGATTTTTGATGTTGGGAATTAACAATTCCCACAGCATTGGTTATGAAATTTGATTTGGTAAGCGTCTCATTATGTTCATCTATATAACAAATTGTATTAAGGTTGCAAGGCATTTTTTTTATTTCTCTTTTGAAGAAAAAAAAACAGTTCGAAAAAGATACTTATTTAAATATTGTTTTATTTGAGAAAATTCACCCTTCTTTGGTGGGAATATTTTTTTTTTAAACTATTTTACAGGCTGATCATAAATGTTTTTTACTTTCGAATATTTGATTTGATAAATTTGACGAAATATTTTTTTTTTATTACATCATTATGAAGTAAATAGGTGGGAAAATAAAATTTTGTTTATATTTACTTTATTAATCTTTTTTTTTGGAAAAAAAAAAAATATTTAAACAATCTCAATTCGTAAGGTAAAAGTTCTTTTTCCTCTTACTTCTTACCTTCTATTAAACTGTTAATGATAATGATTATGATATAGTTTATTTTATTGACGATTAAAAATATACATATATAGTATAAGTATATATATATATATAAATATATAATATAAAAATGCCCAGTCGAGAATGTAGCACAATTAACCGAAATAGGAAATTTTTTGTAAAAGGAAAGGAAAAAATCAAATAAAAGGAAAAGATAAAAATAAAATCGGAATTATATTATAAAATTTTATTGTAATACAAACCCGCCTTTATGTTATATTGTTAATGAATGTTTTTTAGTTAAATGTTTTCGAAGGGTGGTTGTTAGATTGCCAGGCGAATAAATTTTAGCACATAATATGCATTTATAACTTGTTGTTAGTCCAGTTTCTTCATCTTGGACTTTAAAAAAAAATTCCCATACATCCGACTTGCGAGTTGTTATATTGGAATCTTCTTCAGTTGCTAAAGAAGTTGAAGAAACATCTGAGAAATTGTCATCATTTTCATTTGAAATTACGCCGCCAGACATTGTACAATACAAATAATAATGCAAAATGAAAATTATTCTAGTTAAAATGATCAACGCGTCTTACTATTTATGCGACACAGCATTATATAGATTGATCAACTAAACCGGTCTAAATACCGGTTCGACTCAGTTCAGTTTCAGTTCGATTTGATCCTCAAATCGAACCGAAACTGGTTCTATGATCAAACCAGAGTCAGATCGGTCCAGGAACGATGATTTTTTATGGTGATGTTAGACAAATTTTGTGTGTTGTGTTGTGATCTTACTTTTTATAAATTTTGTGTAATTTTGTGAGCTTTTTATAGGATTTTGTGATATTATG